CAGGCTGCCATTTTGAACTGGAAGCCCATACCTCCCAAGTCAACTTGTCTTTCTTTGGTTCTGGCATTATTTCTTTACACTTCCTGTTTTATGCTTTTAAGTCTTGGGAACAAGTTAATAAGTGAACACCCCTACACACAAACACAGGCAAACATGATGATAGTGGTTTCTTGGTGTGAGAAAGCTGCCTGCCACATTGGAGACCTTTGCTTAGCAAGGGAGAGGAGGAGGGAAGGAGAGAGAAAAAGGATGAGAAGAGCCTCATCAAGGCTGGGGACAGCAGTCGGTCACAGTCCCTGACCTTACCCTCTTGAGGAGTCCAAGTATGATTAACAGCTGAAGATGTAAGGCACGATGCAGCAGGAGGTAGTGCAGGGCATTGCTTTGCACACATCCTGCGTTAAGTGTTTTCTGTCTCATGCTGTGTGTGGGACAGAGCTGTTGTTGACAGTGGCTCCATGTGGTTCACTGTGTCCTCTTCTGAAGCACATTTGTCAGAGGACAGTGTCTTAACCACTTGATTACTTTACTTGATGGTTGTTCTCACAAATGGACCCGTTGGGCTCCCTTACTCAGGATGGGTTAGCAGTCCTGGACCCTCTGGGGTCAGTTAGAGAGGGGAACATGTAGTCTTGGTGTCCAGGTGCAAAAGGTACCACAGCACCATCCCCTTTGCCATGTATGTTTCTCCCCAAGGTTGGTCATTTGTAGAAGCTCCTGCTCATCTGCTTTGATTCCAAACCTCTCAAAGCTCTTTCCAAACTAACTGAGCTCTGAGGTGGTCTCTGGCCAGTAACTTATCAGAGAGCAGAGCTGAGGCCAGGCTGGTCCTGAAAAGAGAATAGAGGCACAACTCCAAAAGTGAGCTCCAAAGGTTGTCGAAGGAAGGGCAGACAGCATTGATAACCCCAGAGGTGTCAGCAGTCATAAGAAATGAGTGTTTCTGGGTTGGTTTCTAAGCTTTCTTTACCAAGAAGAAAACCTCCAAAAATAAAAATAATTTAATCTCAAATAGCGCACACATCAAATGACCTCTTTGTAAGAACATACAGGGCCAAAACCATGAAAAAGCACTGACTAATTCATGACATTTAAGTGATTTACAAGTAAAAATGTTGGGAATGTCCATGAATCAGTAGTCTGTCCCTCGGAACATCTGTTCTCTTGCAGTCTCTGAGTGAGTTTGTGTACCTGGAAAGTGCATTTTTTGAGGAGAGCAAAAGCTAAGGTGAGGGTATGGGTTTGGACAGGTGACAATCACTGTCTCCTCTCATCACATTCTTATTTTCCTTCTTCATTATGCTTTCCTTTCCTCTATATCCCTTATTTTTTCTTTTCCCTCTTACCTCTATCATAAAAAAAAAAAAATAAAACCGAATGCAACCATCTTGGAGGGAGAGTGGAAGAGTTTGTGTATATTTGGCAGGTTGTCTCTTCTTATATTTAAGAGAAAAGAGAAGGAGGCTGAAAAATGTCACCAAATGTCCAGGAAAGGTTTTCTGGATGTCAAGTAGCCATTTCCTCTCACCATGTGAATGAGTTCAGTGTAGAAGAATCAGAAACATACAGATTAAATTTCACTTAAAACCCACACATGGTTTTAAAGTGTTGGGAAAATATGCCTGGGGCCAAATCTGATTTGGGTTTAAAAAAGAATTTAGACACATTGAGGGGAGCTGGGAAAGACTGAAGGCCACTGGGTGCACTGCTTAGTTTTCACTGGGACTGGGGTCTTATATCCCTCCCGGATGACTGCAAAGGACCCTGCTCAAAAGGAAGTGTCCAGGAACCCTGACCAGGAGGATCTGGAGACACAGCGCTCTCCAAGCCTTGAGTGAAGGAAGGGCCCTGTCTCTGGGGACATTCTGGTCATGCTGGCAAGGTCAGCTCTCATCAGGCATATTCTAATCGTCAAGTCTGGTGCCAGTAAATAGCTGAGGCACAGAGCCAGGCCCCCTTGTTGTTGTTCTGGGGCCTCAGAATCCTTCTGGTGGCCTCGCCATCCTCATGGAGCCAGAGCCGGTGGCCTGGAAGTCGGCCTCCCTGCCCTGCACCTTCTCCTCCCGCCTCTCCCTTCCTCCAGCTATGCCTGGTGGCTCACTCATCTTGCCCGAGGCCCCTGGAGTGATCCTGAGCCCTGTCACCCAGATTGCTCCTCTCCTGTGTTCAGGTCATGATCGACTGTCACAGGACAACTGGACTCCACCTCCGACCTTGCCTGCCTTCAATTCATCTTCCACAGCCCACATATCACAGGCTTTCTGGAGCTTCCATCAACTCTGGGGTTGCCTCCTTGAACCCCTTCCGAGTTTGGAGGGTTACCAATCCCTCATGCAACGTGTGTGGACCTTCACAGTCTGGCTGCTTGGTTTTATGTTTCTTGACTGCCGTTTCCACCCCTCCTCCTACACCCCACACCCCCACCCTTCCAATGTCCTCCCACCTCCTGGCAGGTTCCAGCTGGGGCAGCTTGGGGACGCTTAACAGCCTCCTGTGCCTCACTTTCTTTGTTTGTGAAGTGAGGATGGTAGCGGGCACCTGCGTGGGGTTGTCAATGGTGAGATAATGCATGCACACTGCTTTGGGTGCAGCCACACATGGATGATTCTACAATTCTCTCACCTCTATGCACTGAGTAACTCTGCACCTCCAGCTCCCTCCCACTTTCTCTGTTCCTTACAATATGCTTTGGTAGTGTGGAGTTGAGCCACGGCCATCTGCACCTGGCCTGTTGGTGACTGACTGTCAGCAGTGTGAGGGAGAGGACTGTGTCTCAGGCCTCCAGACACTGTGGCCAGGAAATATGTGCCAGGAGAAAGCAAGAGCAAGTGACTCAAAGGGGGAGACTAGGCCAGCCTCTCGATAGATGATGGTAGAGCCTGGGAAGGTCGTCTCCTCTCTCTATTCCTCTCTCATCCCCTCCCTTCTCATCCCCTCCCTTCCCATCTCCTCTCTCCTCTCCTCTCCTCTCCTCTCTTCTCCTCTCTTCTCCTCTCCTCTCCTCCTCTCCTCTCCTCTCCTGTCCTCTCCTGTCCTCTCCTCTCCTCTCCTCTCCTCTCCTCTCCTCTCCTCTCCTCTCTCCTCCTCTCCTCTCCTCATTTCCTTTTCCTCCCCTCTTTTCTTCCCTTTCTTCTTCTTCCCTTCTGTTGTTGAAATGGCATTGCTATGCTGCCAGGTTGGGTTAGGACTTCTGGGCTCAAGCCATCCTCCTGCCCATGCCTCTCTAGTAGCTGGACTATAGGTGCATGCTACCACACTTACCTGGTATTTCTTTTCATAAATGTACAAATTGTTATCTTTTTTAAAGAACCAAAGGAAAAATAAGTTTACCACACTGACATTTCTAATGTTAAAAATCATTTTAACATTCAAGATGCTCCTTCTGGAACTCAGAATGACTTTGTACTTCTCGATGTCACCGCAAGTTTGCTGGGCGAGCTGGGTTTGCCTTTGGCTCTTGCCTCTTGACTCCCTCTCTGCCTGCTTCTTGTTCCAGCTGTGGCTCCTCCAAATCACTCCAACTGGCTGGAGTGCTGGCAGTCCTTACTCTGCACACAGCCTGAGTTTCTCCTGGTGCCCACAGTGGCTGGACAGAAAAGTGCGGTATTTAGGTCTTGGGAGATTGTGTTTGGATCCAGGTTATGTCACAGGGCTTCTCCTGCTCTGGGCCAATTGGGGCAGCATCTGACATGGCTGGAGGAGTCATCGCTCCATGGCTTATTAAAATGCCTAAACTCACTGGGGACTGGCTTTTCCAAGTCCGAGCTGCTCACAGGGCCATGGAGACAGATTAGGGTGCATCTTTTCCAGTGCATCTTGTTGGTCCATGGTCACTCAAGGTGGAGAGGGGAGGAGGGTATACAAGGAAGAGGCACTGCTCAAGAGTTTGTACCTGCAGCCGCCTGCTGGGTACGATTTCTTTCCATTTCCCATCCAGTAGGGAAAAAATTTCTTTCAGTTAATTTCTTTTATTTTTGCATGCTACTTGTCATGAAAAATTGAATTTAAAACATCTTTCATCTAATACTTGTCATGAAAAATTGAATTTAAAAACATCTTTCATCTAATACTTGATGCATGCTGTTTACTTTTAATTATGTAAGAAAGCATAACTTGTCAGTTAAGTATATTAAAATTACTTAGTTTATCACATCTGGTTGGGAAATACAATTTTAAAGTACAGATGGACATTTAATTATGTATTAGCATAGACAATAGGCAAAATCTAACTGTGTGATCTAATGCTTCAGATTCCTGGATTTAAAAATCAGCTGGTTAATTGGTAGGAATCTTCAGTTATATTTCTAAGTGTTGACATTAAGAGACATGAGCCACCTGCCATTCTTTCTCCAAATTATTCCATTGCAAGAGGGGATAGATTCATTTCCAGTAATGGAAGAAGCAAAGCGGGTAGAGTTCTCATGACTTTCTTCTTTTAGCACTGGCTTCTGAAACTGAAGCTAGCTTGAAAGATGAAGTTTTTTTTTTTTTTAAATAAATACTAATGAATCTATTGCACATTGTTATCTCAGAACTAGTTCAGGTTACAAAATCTAGATACAAAGTGATCAATCAAGCAATGATAGCACAAATGTTCTTTTTGATGAACTAAGAGAGATTAGTAGCCTAGTTATCTATCTAGCGTACATATACATGCATACATACCTTTATATATGTTTACCAACATACACATAATGTTGAAGGAAAAAGGTAACATGAAGTTTTGACTGGATAAACGGAATTTAGAGATTAGGCTAATAAAATGAGCCTATGTGGGGTGGAAATGAGCCTATGAAGTAGCAGAATCATTGTTTTCAAGCTTCTTGCGTAAAAGGCAGCTTCTAAGATGGTTTTCCTTCCCATTATTGTGGGCTGGACTTAGTGAATTGCTTCCAATGAAGGAAGAGATGGGATGGCACTCTCAGGATTCAGTTCTCAAAGACTGATCTCCATTTTATCCTGTTTTTTCCTCTTATTCCTCACTTTCTCGGACTGATAAGGCCAGGGCTTTGGTGAAAGCACCCTCTGGTGAAGCTTCCAGCCAATATCTGGAGAGGAACTGAGGTCCTAAATCCAACATCCGATGGGGAACTGAGGTCCTAAATCCAACATCCGATGGGGAACTGAGGTCCTAAATCCAACATGAGGTGAGGAACTGAGACCTTAAGTCCAACATCCTGTTAGAAATGGAGGTCCTGAGTCCAATATTATGTGAGGAGCTGAGCCCTGGCAACAATTATGGAGTAGGCATAGGGCCTTTGAGGGACCCTGTTGCTGGCTGACATCTTGATTGCAGATGCCTTGAACCAGAATTCAGGCTGTACTCAAATGCTTGACCTGCAAAAATAATGTGCAATAAGTTTCATTTTAATTTCCTGTAGTTTGGAGTAATTGTAGGCTGCGAAAATTAATACATCCGGTTACATCACTGATTGTTATGCTCCTTGCCTTGTGCTGTGTACATTAAGAGATGCATGAGTATCTCATAATGGCATAATATTAGAAATACAACCGTTTCACTGGAAGCCACTTGCCAACTAGTGTATGCAATTGAGCAGCAAGTCACCTATTGGCCAGAAACACAAACGTGCTCATCTGTTCTCCCAATCACATTAAACACACACAAGGAAGCCCTCTAAAAATATGTTTGTTTGGTTGATTTAAAAAGATGCCACGCCAAGTGTGGTGGAGCATGTCTATGATCCCAGTACTTAGGAGGGGGGAAGATGTGAATTAGAGGCCAGCTTAGGCTATATAGTAAGCTTAATTTCAGTTTTAAATTACATAGTGAGACTTTGTGTCAAAAACTCAACATAAATAATAAAAAAATTAAAAATAAAAATAAAAAGATACTATTGCCACCTTTCCTAATGATATGGGTGATGGAGGAGATGAAAGAGCACCTTGCTGGCAGGTAAAGAAAATGTGGAGGTTCTTGGGGAGGTGTTTCAGGGCCAGGACTAGAAATAGCAAAATACCCCTCTGCTCACATTTGATTGGCCAGCATTCAGTCACATGACCAGAGCACATTGCAAAGGAAGCTGGTAAATAGAGTTTGGCTTTGCACTGAGAAGGAAGAGGCAGATTTTGGCAACACAGCATTATCTGCTAAAGTGAAGACCTCTTAATTCCATTGCATGAAGTTTAATTGTGCATTTATGATATAGAGGCATTACACTAAGCATTAAAGATACAAATGAGGAGAAAAAAATGTGGTCCCTCTCTTAAAAAAAAATCACAATCTAGTTACAAGAGATCGGTTGATCAAAGATAACTTGAAAGTTAAATCAGGGGTCAGTTTCTACTGTCCCCATTTGAAAAATAGCCACTGTACATTGTTCTGTTTATGGGCAGAATAGCACAGGCTAATCCTGGGGAGATTTTATCCCCAAAACCAGGGGCCACAAAGCCATTTGAGCAAAAATCTATTTGTCAGAAATTATGGAGTGGGCACAGCCTCTGTCCCCTGGTGGAAAGTTTGACTTCTAGGTAGCATGTGTGGGAATCAACTGGGGCAGTGTTCCAAAACTCCAGCAACATCTACTTACAGGAATAACATTACAGGGTTGTTTTCAACATCTCCACCAAGAATTGGGGGAAAAAGTGTAAATTGAAGCTAAGGAAAAATAACTTGAGACTATAATCAAACTTAACTATAATCAAAAGTCAAAATAGACTAAAGCCCAAAAGACCCAAGAGCATTTTCCTTCTGAACATGTGTATAGCCCACACATTTCTTGGTTGTAGAAAAACCTGGAAACATCACAAATGGATAAATTAATGTCTAATTACATGTTAGACTGTTATACAGTCATGAATGTAAATAAATTGTAACCTCGTGTATTAATGTGAGTGAATCTCAGAACTACAATATTGAGTACAAAGTTTGATTTATACAGAGTTTGATTTATACAGATTTAAAAAGCACACGCCACTAAACACCATGGTGTTTTGGGATATGTGGGTGATTTGTGTGTCACCCTGTGGGTAGTAGACTTGCAGCAGCACTGCTATGTGCTCTAGAGAGGAGAGGGTAACATGGAGAGGTGGGTCAGGCCTCCACGCCTCCGTCTTCGTCTGTTCCTGACCCTTTACCTTCAGGAACATGAACTGCTCTGCCTCTCACGCCAACCCTGGCGTTGTAGCTCAGGCCCATCTGATGTTGAAAGAAGGAGTTATTGAATGTGTGGAAGGCCTGAGAACTGCAAAGAGATCAGGTCCGGTTCCCTGGCCCTGCCTACGTGACAAACATTTGTATACCTGGGCCAGGAAACCTGAATCGAGCAATTTTTATGCCACTCTCCAGTGTAAAGCTGTTCCTTGTGTTCATCTCATTTCATCTCACGGTGCTGAGAGTTCACATGGTTGTGCCCATTTTACAGATTAGAAATGTGATATTTAGGGAGGCTAAAGGTCCAGCCAAGGTCTCTGTGATGGACACTTTGGTTTCAACCTCTAAATTCAATTTTATCATTCAAAAAATGATAAAAATGGTGAATGTTTACAGTAAAAATTATTACAGTAAAAGACATTGCCATTAGTCTTCCACCAAATACTCCCTTCCCTTCAAACACACTTATTCCATCCATCCTTCCACTTTCTGAAGCGGATCTGGGCATCCTCTTTTGTGATTTGTCTTTTCATGGTTGTGCTTCAGTGTCTGGAGTTGATTAAAGATGTTTATGGCAGTTTCTGTTATATAAAAACACTACAGTCCTCATCTGCCTTATTCACCAAATCTGGAGCCATGTCACTTCTGGTTCTTCTCCAAAGTCAAAACGACCATGGAAGATAAATGTTTTGAATTGATTCAAGATACCAAGGCAGCAGTGTCAGTGAAACTAATTATATTCAGGAAAGAGGGCCCAGAACTGCTTCAGAAGGTGGCAGGAATGATAGACAAGCATGTTTAAACCGAGAAGAGTATTTTGAAGGTGATTAGTGTCAATGCATATTTTACTACTTTTTAAAATAGTTAAGCATTTACCATACTTTTTATTTTAAAAATAATAAAACCCAACAAAACAGAACAAAGCCAATCAAAACAAATCAGCAACACTGATACGGAACTTCAAAGCAGGATACTAGGAAAACAACAATAGCTACCATAGTGTATCTTGTTATCTTCACAATAGTTGTCCATTCCATCAGGTATAGCAAAACCAAACCAAAACAAAACATAATAAAGCCAATCAAAACAGAATATTGAATAAAGCAAAACAATCAGAACAAAACAAAACAGTGAGAACAATATTGGATTTCAAAGACAGACAGAAGGGAATCCCCATATTTGCTATATTGCATACTGTTATCTTCTAGTAGATGCTCAGACTGTTAGGCCCAGGCCTGTGAAACCAACCAACCAATACAAGCATTCAGTTGCTTTTTGTACCTCAGTTGCTATTAACTCAGCCAGCCTGTCCTCCAAACCAGCAGGTTGTTTACCTGGATGGGGCTGGGAGATGTTGGGGTTGATTCTCTGTAAAAACCCCATGTCAACCTGGAAACTCCTTCCCCACTTTAATTTCATGTTTCACTCTGGGGTGCCTCAGGAGGAAGACAGATGGGGTGTTTGCAGAGTTCTCCCTGCACTGCTGTGAAGGCTCGTGCCCCTAAGCAGGTGGCTTGGCGCTTGCTTTCAGATGCCTTCAGATCTGCACATGTGGCACACGTTAGTCCATGGGCGGGACATGCTCTTACACAGTTCTAATGAAACTTGGGTTCACTACAATTTTAATAAACCACCCAAGCGAGCCAGATTCCTGGCATTTTGTTGGCAGCAAGGGTCTAGAAGATATAGGAAAATTCTTATCGTCATGATGGATTAGGTTATTTTCATCTTGCACAAAGTTACTCACAGTTGAAATGTTGGACAAGATAACTCGGTTAGATGAAAATTGTGCCTGACGAGTATATCAATTATGCAGCGGAGCAGCAAAAAAATTGGAATGTGCTGTTATTAGCTCAGCCTCCTTAATAGTTTAACACAGAGCCCACCATTCCTCACTGTGCAAATGTATCCGTAGGGCCTCTGTGGAGGTCCTTAGTTGACAGAGTACCAGGGCTGGGGATTGAGTTTTGGATGAGTTTTGGTGATTGCCATTTTTGTCCTGTAGTGGTATCTCTTTGTTTTGTGCTTATTGAGCCCTATGAGACTTTCCCAGCCACATCCACACATTTCTGTACTTTGTGGGGTCTTTGCTTGGCCTGTCAGACTGCGAATTGCCCTCCTGGTCCTCAACCATCCACCCCACATTCCCAGGCTGGAGCTGACTCAAATATTTGGAATAAATGCTTAATACCTGCAAGATGGCAGAATTGGCAACAACTTTTCAGATGAAGCTTAAAGACTCCGAGAACATTTAGGCCTGGAGGGAGTTGCTTTGATAGGAATTTAATCTCCTGTCTGGGAGTGCCCTGGGCTTAGGACATAGGGTTAACTGGAGCTCCTGCTCACTGCCCTTGGCAACCAGTGAGACAACAGAGGGACTCAGTGAGGACAGAGGGGTGGGGGTGGGGGGACCGAGCAGAAGAGATGGGGAAGGTGAAGCCTGCAGGTCCCTGAAAGAACTCTAGGAAAAAATGGAAAACAAAACCAAAACTAATAGAAGAAACAGGGAGAAGACTGGGCCTCACCCTGTGACTTTGTGGTATGTCTGTGGCTATCAGGGGAATATATTGCAGGCTGGGCATTTGTAATCCAAAAATCTGAAATCAGAAATGCTCCAAAATCTGAATTTTTTCGGGGGTCAGGATGGTGCCACAAGTGAGAAATTCTACACCAGGAAATCTTGTTCTGTACACAACATTATTTAAAATGGCATTTAAAGTTGACTTCAGGCTCTATGTATAAGGCATATATGAAACAAAAATGAATTCTGAGTTTAGATCTGGGTCGCATCCCCAGGAGATCTCATTACATAAATGTTCAAAAAAAAAAAAATCCCAAATCAGAAGTATATCTGATTCCATGCACTGTGGGGAAGAGATATTCAGGCTCACGGAATGACCTTCAGAACCAACTCTGTGGGTCTTGACAGAGAGTTGTTTTTTCAGGTATTTAGAATTTCACAGTTTTCATTCTCTTACTATTGAATTTTGGAAGAAAAATGGGCCTACTCTCCAAATTTATAGAAAAATCTCAAGTTTCAAAACATTTATGCATTTTTACTCTCTGTTCTAGGCTCAAAGAGATTACGTTCCTACAACAGGGTGCTGCTCTGTGCCACTGCTCAGAAGGGGACAGCAGCAGCGTGGATCTCAGCTGCGGTGGGTGTTTTGGCGATGGCTTTTTCCTCTCACTGCAGTTTGCACTTGGACAATCTTGGGAGCCTGGACTGTCTGTCATCATCTGAGTCAGTCCATCAGATCTTCTGAGGTCCGTTGTAATGTTTGTCCTGAGTTTCTGTTGCCTGCTTGCCTAACTAGGCTCAGTGTTGCTGTCTGAGTGGCTGCTGCATTTCTCATCTTTAATTGTCAATCACGTGCCTCCCACAGCTCTCATTTCTGAGTCCTCCCTTCCCGTCTCCTTACTGTTCCCATCCTTACACGTGTGTTCTGCAGAAATCTGTGAACAGAGGAGGAGTTGGGTTTGTGAAAACAAGAAACAAAGTCTTGTTTCTGATCAATGTTGATTTTTCTTTTCTCTTTTATACTGGAGATTGAACCCAGGGCCTCCACCCTGAGCTACATCTTCTGTCCTTTTTATTTTTTTATTTTGAGACAAGTTCTTGCTAAGCTGTTCAGGCTGCATTTAAACTTGCAGTTCTCCTGGTTCAGCTTCCCAGAGTGCAGAGATGATAAGCATGTACCACCATACCTGTGGGAATACATAGAGCAGAATGAGAGCAAAAGGAGATGAGAAGGAACCAAATCCAAAAGAGTTAGGTAAGAAGAAATGGAGCTGCAGAGAAAAATGAGAATCCAAAATTCCTAGTGGTAGGAAAGAGACGGGAGTCCAGGCTAAACACGGAAGGTGAGATAAACCTCATGAGGCAGGGATGGGATGAGAGGACTTCCTGCCCTCTACTATACCCACTCTTGTCATACACAGAGTAAGGTTCTTGCCAAGGACTCTGGACCTAACTGTGGTCAGCAGGAAAAAGGACAAATGGTGACTCTATCTAACCTCCCCAGGGAATCCCCAACCTTAGAAGTCCTGGATTTGGCGTTTAAGTGGGGGGTTCTTAGCCTTGGCTAAGAACAACTTAAGGAATTAAAGCACAAAACAAAATGAAACAAAACCCACCATTCTATCCTTGACCAGTCCTCCTTCAATTTGTGCATGAGAGTTATCGAAGAATCTCGCTGAAATACAAGATAAATCAATAGCGGTTGGATGAGTTAGGTGCCAGGTGAACCTAAGATTGTGTGCAATGCTACTGGTGCTAGATTGCGAAGCAAGGGTCCAGAGCAATTCAATCATAATCTCTTGAAACTGGATCTGAGTCATTCATGTTGCAAAAATCTCCCTAGGGTTTTAGGGTTCACTTCCTTACAGCTCAATAAAGGATGGGGGTACAGGAACTTAAAGGAGGCACCATAATGAAAGCTCATCACTGAAGGGTGTGATGGGTGGTCTAAGAGGGATCCGGTTTTTTAGAATCAGCAGAAGATCTCCACATTTGCTTGGAGACATCAGGGAGTAGTCCCTTATGGCAGGTGACATTGGCCTCTCTCTAGAGATGTCGTGCTGATCACCTCGTAACTTCAGAATACTCCCACTTGGTCCAAATCTAGGACTTTTGAGGTTGGGGATTCCCTGGGGAGGTTAGATAGAGTCACCAAGCTCTCCTCACTGTAGGTTCTAACTATTCTAGATCTCTTTTGGAGGTGATCATAGGGTTCTATTTTGAACTTTAAAGACTCCTCTTGAACCCTCAAAATGATCCAGACAGGTCTGGGTCAAATGTGTGGAAGAAGACTTTGCAACTAGAACTTTTAGCTTAGAACTCCAGAAATTCAAACTAAACAGAATTAGAGGGCAAGAGTTTGGGAGAAAGAGACATTAAATGCATGTGGCAGGGTGGGGGTTAGTTTGTGGTCCACTGACGTTCACCAAATTCTTTTGTGCCGCATCCATAACTGATTTCCCAGTGTTCTAGTATTTGTGTTAGAAGTCTATCATTTTTCTTCTTCAAAAAGTGTAAAGGATTGGCCTGAATAGTATTCCCTTCATTGACTGTCCAGGCCTAATAGAGCTTCTCTGGAAACCAGAATTCAGTAATACCCCTTCATCAGTTTCCTCGGACCCGAGAACTCATTCTTATTTTTGATTGCTCTGTCATTCTGTGACTTTGGATAATAGGCCACAATTCTAGGAATTACTATTGTATTTTATTACTAAGGGCCAGGAGTATTTATTTCAGTGAAACTCTAAGAGATTTGCAAGTGGAACTCCCCACCTGATGTTTCACCCCAGATATAAGGGGTTGACTTTCCCTTGTGCTATGGTTTGTGTTTAAATATCCCCCAAAGCCTCAAGTGGTCATGGGTGGGTGGGCCTCTTGAATATGGCTGAGTCTAGTGTTTGTGAGTGGTGACTGTTGACCACCCCAAGTGACAGACAAAACATGTTTTCTCCCTCCTTGGTAGGTAACTGAGACTCTCTGGATTCTGACTCAGCTGGCAGAGTAAAACGGATGCAGAGCAAAAATCATCTCGGCTGTACAGGGAAGGCTAATGTGAGGTACAGCATATGTCAAGGAAATCAGTCTTAGTATTTATCATGTTACAGAAAATAAAATAAATGTAGATTTGAGTTAAACTGAATTGAGTCACTTTACACACACACTGCAGTTGAAGCCAGCTTAACAAGTGTTATCTAATAAAGAGATCCTTGGTGAAAATCAGTTAAGAATGACTATAATTAATAACTGTTGATCACTGTCAATTTAAATCCTTCAGCATTCCCAAATCACTTAGAGGTGCTTAAAAAGTGTTTGTCCTCTTAAGAGGCTTTAAAAATACTTCCTTATAATCTAGTTGACATAGTTAATTAACAGTTAGAACAATAGACACAAAGATTTCTTCCCAAATTGCACTGAGGTAAACCTCAGTCACAACACAATTATTTCCCAAATTCCACCCTTTGAAAAGTGGGTGAACTGCTGAGGTGCACCATAGAGCTGAAAAAACATTTGCTCCACACATCTTCTCTCCCCCCAACCCTGCCCCACTGATGATTTTTGTTACAAAATGTTTTAGATTCCTTCATCTCCCCCACAAAACTGTTTTTTCTTACAATATCTGTCACATGGCCTCCCAGTCCCAAATGAGCTGTTAAATGGGGGGGCTATATTTTTCTGTTCTCCACAATGGTTGTCAGTGTGACAGTCCATTCTGTAGCCTGGGGCTTCAAAATACAAACAAACCTCACAGGCTGAACTTGCTAATTAACAATTACAGCTGGAGTGAACCAGCTGTAGAGAGGGACCATCTGAGCCTCTCTACACATCCAGGTGTATGTTAAAGACAGGTACAGTTTTGCTGGGGACATTTGTAGTACACAGAAGGAAAGAAGGAAGAATTGAGAAAGGGGACTTCAGGCAGGCTGTGAGGTGACCAGAAGTATAGCTCCGTGGAATCTTCTAGAAATCTCCATGGCTTTGGTGAAGGCTGTGGCATGTCTGTTCCTTTCCGTGCAGAATTTTATGCCTGCACCTTTCCTAGATATGATTCAGGTGTGCTGGGAGAAGGTGGGCTGCTGGGCCTATTTGCCACTTGGCTGCCAAACATTTGAGGCCTTTGCCAACCCCTTGGGAGACGCTGAGCCTTGCCACAGCTGGGTTCTCTCTGTCCATGGAGCAGTGGGGAGGAAGGAGGCCTTACTGCAGCTCGGCCGACATGGATTCTAAAATGTGACTATACCACTTGTGTAAAAATGCTAAAGAGAAACAAAAGACAGTTGTAAGATTAAAGGTGGATTTCAAATTACCTCGACTTTTCTTCACCACCCAGTGCACCAGTTCCAGGGAAGTGCTGAGAGTGGGCTTCTGGGCAGTGATCCATGCGTGCGGTCTCAGGACCTATTGCACCGAATCTTCTGGGAAGTTCAGTGTGTCTTCTGGCCCCTCCCCAGACCTAGTACGTCACACACTGGAACTGAGGCCTGACCAGCATGCCCTTTGGGAGATTCTGTTGCAGCAGAACTTTGAGAATCACTGATTTTAAAACATATTAAGATCTGGGTTTGAATACTCTGTTATATACTAGTAGCAGGGTCTTTGATAGATTGATTGATTCATTGACTGATTTAGCAATACTGGGGATTGAATACAGGGCCTTGCATTTGCTAAGCAAGCACTCTTCCACTGAGCTATATCTCTAAGTCTTTTTTATTTTGAGACATGGTCTTGCTAACTTGCCCTGGTTGGTCTTGAACTTGTGATCTTCCTGCCTTTGCCTCCTAAGTAGCTGAGATTATAGGCTTTCACCAGTGTGTCTGGCAGGATTTTAGATTTTGAGACTCAGTGTCCACATCTATGAGGTAGACACAATATATACCACTCATTCATGCAACAGATCTATGTGTTTGGCTCTGGGGGCATAATACAAGTGAAAATAGAAAGGAACAGACTTCAAAGAGTTTAGAGCTTGGTAGGGGAGACAGACACTGAACGAATCATCACAAAATAAAAATCTAATGTTCAGTTGTAGTCTGTGTTCTGGGGGAGGAATCAGACTCTGAGAGAGAGGAAGGGGAAGTGAAAAGGATTAAGATGTGCTATGTACACGTACCAACTTCCCACGTGTAATGCCAACACGTACTAACAACATTTTTTAATTAGAAAAATTAAAAAAAAAAAATAATTTGAAACAGGAACAGCTGACCTTGCCTGGGGGCTTAGAAAAATCTCCCTAAGACCTCTGAGCTGGAGCAATTAGTGGAAGGATGAGAAGGCGTGGGGTGAGAAGGGTGAGTGGTAGGTGGTGGATGATGGTGGGTGGCCTAGTGAAGCAGGTGGCGAGAAGGCACAGTGTGGAGGTCCCTCTGCCTAGGCCTGGAGAGCACCACAAGGTTGGGCAAACCGTGATCTCCAAGTCTGAATGTTCGCTGGGGCTCCTGGGGAGTCTCAGAGAAATACTGATGTTGGGTCGCACCCGATTATGAGATTACCAATCAGTTTAATAGTAAAAGACCCCAGGTGATCCTGACCTGAGACAAGTTGGAAAACCACCGAGCAGGATGAAGGCTGGAAGGCCTGGAGCCCAGAAACGGGGTGGCAGGGAGCAGGGAGGTGAGGCCACCCTATGAGATGCATGGTTGGGATGGCTCTGGGTCAGTTACCTAAGGGCAGCGGATGAGTTTCCAGGGTTGTCAGCAGGAAGATGAACTGAGAGGATCTGTGCCTTGGAAAGATCCCTCTGGTGGCCAAGTAGAGAGGGAATCAGGTGTGATGGGTTGTGGTCACTTGGAAGAAGAGGGAAAAACACAGGGAGATCACTGACTCTGTACAGAGGACAGGGGACATGGGAGTTGGTGATGGCCCTTGGTTTTTGAGCTGTTGATGTGCAGCGTTGGAAGAAGAGCAGGTTTGTGGGGAATCATGAGTTTGTCCTTGACGTGTGGAGTTGGCTGCAAATGCCAGAACTGAAAGGGAACATAGCTGCATTCAGCAAGGGCAGAAGGCAGTTAGGGCAGCTGGTAAATAGGCTCCTATACGGCTTTGGCTCGGCCATCTTTCTGCTTACATTTGTGGCTTTGTTGTCCGTGGTGGTCACTACACCTCCAGTTTCTCATTCTCATTGCAGACCAGGGAACAGAAAGAAGAGAGTGAGGCTGTGGGGAGGAGGAGGGAGACTACTGGGGAAGAACAAGTTCTTTCCTGAGTCCGCATCTGTGCACTACAGACAAAAGCAAGGTCCTGTTGGTAAGGCATAAATGGAGAGGACACAGAGTGGTGCTTTTATCCAGCCAGGAAGAGCTGGTGGGTAGGCAGCTGAGCATCTGTGCCTGGGTGGCTCTGGGACACCTGGGGAAGGAGCACTTTGTAGTCATGATCGTAACAATGGCGTTGGCAACCTTCCCAGTGAAAAGGAGAATTTGTTGATGGCTCCTGCTGGTACCCCAGGGAAGTATGTTCAGGGTAAACACATCAGCAGTCTTGATGCTGAGCTCCTTCTTAGGACTCTTGAACACACTGACATCTAATTAGTAGGCAGTGTGACTTGAATCTGCTGGTAGAGAGAGTCATGAGAATAAACAGCTCAGTGTCTGTTGTGCTAGGTGCTGCATTACACGCTTGAGGCACTGTGTGAGGGGGTAGGTACATACACTCACTCAGAGGTGCATGTAGTAGACTACAAAAATGGCCCTGAATTCCTCTCCTACAGGCCTCGCACCTGTTTATGAGATGACTTTTTAGATCTTCTTATCAAGAAGGTGAGTCTGTTTTGCCACCTCTAATGAGTCTATTCTGGATCATGTGATACTGTATTAGCAAGAAGAAAGGAAGGGCTATGAAACACATGTGTGAGGTTTGCCCTCTTGTTGGGTTTGGGAATCCTGGGGACACACACAGACTGGCCTGCTGCACACACAGTTCAGTCCTGTTTCTTCAGCTGGTGTCAAGCCAACATCACACACATACGTGAGGTCTTCTTGGGCCACTATCCATCACTAGCTGAGCCCACCCACTCCAGAAACACCACTCAGTTTACACAGAGTCATGAGGAGCAATTAGTGTTGTTTGGTTACTAAGCTGTAGAGTGGCATGTTACATAGCAAAAGTTAAGTAGTACATAATTATCTCCTGAACGTTTTTGGGTATAATTTTTACTGGGAGACAGTACTGGCTAGAAGCTAGGGTTATAGAGTCTAGATTCTCTGGGTTCAAAATCTGCCTTACATACTTCCTAGCTGTGAGGATTCTCTGCTCCACCTAAGTCCTGACCTTAGAGAGAAGGGAGAGAGAGATAGAAAACTCTTGGCATGGTAGCCAGCCCATGGCAGACACTCAACAGTGTTCTGCATGGTGTCGGTGTGAGATTTGTGAGTGATACTGGTTTTCCTTGCTTAGAAAATACTCGTGACTGTACAGTTTTTGCTGTGCCAGGGTTGACTGTAAGGCAAATTCCATTGTACTTTCTCAAAATTGACATCTTGGGGAAATATATTTAATCATGGAAATAAACAAAAGCATGTTGTAAAGGAGTATCTTGGTTACTTTTCTCTGGTTGGTGGAACAAAATACCTGGCTCCAAAAATGAAGGAAGGAAAGGTTTATTTAGCTCACAGTTTGTGTAAGTTTCAGTCCATACTCAACTGGCTCCCAGGCAGGGCGTGGGGCAGAGCGACAACAGTCTGTGGCAATGGCAGATACCAAAAGCAACAAGAGAAAAACAGGGAGAAGCACAGAGAGAAGATGATCTCTGTCCCTTATGCTGTATGTAAGCCACATCCACTTGGTGTAGCACTCACACCCATAATCCCAGCATTGGACAATGAGTCATTCACAAACTTTAGAAGCCTGCCTCCATGGCTGCATGAGGCTTTGGGGGGACATCCTGTCTCAAAGCATAATAGGGAAAAAGTTTCAAAAGAGAAAGGAAGACTTGATCAGTAGGATCCACAGAATTGTTTCTTTCCAGTTGGCTGGGAGTCAAAGACAGAGTAACATAGGTAAGGAAGTGAGACTCACCAGGTGGCTGGCTGCAGGTGCTTGGAATTCCAGAGTTGATTTCCAGCTGTCCCTTTTCCCAGCCTAGCCCATCATGTCACCTCCTCTTCCTCCTTTGCTGGGTCATAACCCCTGTTAGCAGGGAGCAGAGATAGCAAATTGCAATGTGTTCCTCTTAAAACACTGACACCTTCAACTTCATCAGATGGTGAAGGCTGTACCGGAGCCTAAATACAACGCTGTGTCCTGGAGTGTGGCTTGTCAATCAAATGCTGCCATTTTGAACCTTTCTCTACCCATGTGACTTTAAGAAGTTTATAGCAGGCCAAGGCCATTTGTCCCATTGTTCTGTCCCATTTGACTGGATGTGGCTTGCTCAGTGCCATAGCCTTGGACCTTTTACAATCAAGAATGGCGTCTTCATTGCAATGGGGAAGTGAGCATTCAGCAAGGCCCTCAAACTCTTGGAGTCATGACTTGCTGGCCTACCTCCCAACTACCTGGAATCTGTCAGCTTAGTGAGAAATGTGACTACCTATCAACACCTCTTAGCCGTGTCTCTCTGTCCCCAATTTCTTTGACTGTGCCTGGCCAGTTTCCCACTGCCCACATTCTCTACGGAGCCTCCCACCCTGATAGGCATGTGCTCCAGTGGGGGAAGGCAGTATCGTTTTGTTTCAGATCTGACCCACTGATGGAGGACATCTGGGCTATGAACTACCAGCGGTCCCTCGAGTCCTCTTGGGTTGCCACAAGTTCTGATGGTGGATTGTCTGCAGGTTTTTAATCACCAGACTCTGCCGTCATCAGGAAGGGCATTAAATTAGGCTGGCTGATTGCCAAGGAGATCTTGGTCCTTTCAGACGGGAGAGGAGGGGACCATTCTCTCTTCAACTTGTCAATCTTGTTCTTTTCTTGGAGCACAGAACCATCTTTAAAAACTAGAACCAAACCCAAACAGACAAAAACGGCTGACTCATAGGCGGAGCTGACAAATGATGCCCAGAGGAAAGGAGGGAGGAGAGACCAGACTCATAAATAGTACTCTTGTGTATTTGGGGCTTTGGCCTTTTAGAATTTCACAAAAGAAGAGCTTACTGTCTAAGCATCAATCTTGAAATGGGCCTTGAGAATTAGGAATGTCTCTGGGCGTGCTGAGTCTCTGGTGTCCTCAGACTCAGCAGTTCTAGGGCCCTGAAGAATTTCAGGCTGATGTGTCAGACACATTTTTGGGGCAGGAGCTGAAGTAGAGCATTCTGGGAAGTTCCCTAGGACCTCTGTCCTGGAAAGTGGATACTGTTACTTAGGCTTGCTGCTCTGGGGTCATTCTGTGGAACTCAAGGCCAGCATGTGTGGTGGTCTTCAAGGTCGCCAGTCCCCACCTACTGCTGTGGTCAGCCTGCCTGTAGTTTAGGTATCCTGCTTCCACTCCCCCTTCCTCCATTGCTCTGTAGGACCCCTGATAAGTAGGCTGTGTCTTATTAGTCTTTTAGTTGAAGATTGGATCGTTTCTACTCTCCTCCATAGAAGTGTGGCTTGGCTTCTCCTCCAACTTTGATGAAACTTTCAGATTGAAAGCAAAGTGTTCCTGACTGCAAGGCCCAAAGACAGACCAGGTTGAAACCCTTAGGTTACTTATTCTCTGCTATGACTGCATAGAACAGTCAGTGGGAAAATTAAAAAAATATAAGGGCCTGATCTCACTTAGAGCATTTAAAATTCCTTGCAGTTAGGAGCTGGGCTTCAGTACCTTTTTTCCCCAGTACTTATTGAAAGCTCCCCTATTGATAAAACATGCTGCCATATTTGAGAACCATTACCTTAAATGAAAGGCAAACTATCCTGTTTACTTGAGGATCATTTGGGGCAAATAAAAATATCTATAGAAAGGCTTTAAAAAATCTAAAATAAATGTAAAGATGCCCAGCGGGGTTCTTCATTCAGACATCATTGCCTAGCAGGTGGAATTAGCCTCACTCTAAGGATGCAAAGATGAGCAATCAGTTGTAGGTACAGCACCAAGGGCTTTCTGTGTCATGCTAGCAAAACTGCCCAGATCTAGAATTTAAAGCTGATAGTTGTCCAAGATGAAGGAAGGAAAGTGCTAGGAGAGTAATTACCCTTCAGGGCTTGGGCAAGTAGGGGAAGGGCCAGGGAAAGATTCTTTGGGGAAGACATGTTCCAGAATCCAGGGATGAATGGGACTTCCCTGGTGGAGGAGGGAAGACCATGGCACAGGCAGAGAACAGGGGAGCCTGTCATCTTTGATGATTTGACAGAGGGCCTTTTCCATCCAAGTTAGGACACCAAAGAGGAGATGGCAGCGAACAGGGACCAAGAGGAAGCCAGATGTGAGGAGCGCTTGAAGCTGGAGATCGATCACACATACAGAGCCGGAGCAAGGCCAGCCTTGAGAACGTGGAGAGCATAAGGTGAGCCACGTAAACAAGTAGTCCCAGCACAGAGGACACAAGGTACTCAGGCAAGCCAGGCAAATAAGTTGCTAGGCAGAGGAGTTGAAACTGACATCAGCCTACTGAGTGTATAAATAAACACACTGTGGAGACTGAGCAGTTCCTTTTCCTCCCAACTGGAAAGAAGTCTCCATCTGACCTCAGCTTGCTGTATACTGTCTTATCGTTATTTCTCCATCCTCTCACCTTCCTTTCCTCAGGGAACCTTGAGAGCTGCACTGTTGTGGAAGCCAGAGGCCCAGTTATGCTGTCCTGAGCTTTCTTGACATCATCCTGAGCTGCAGATAGACCCTGCAGGAGTTACAGGGTCAGATGTGTTGGCCAGAGGGAGACTGGAGCTGTGTGGCAGGAGCAAAAGTGAGCCCTGCTTGGAGGCACCTGGAATAGTCCAGGATATTGTCTTAGGTCAGGGTAGCGAGTTTGAAAGTTTTGTTTGAGTAGATTTGTGTGAGGAACCACTTGGACTCCTTCAAAGCTCAGGGCATCTAAGGATACCTGAGGACATGACCTTGCTTTTCTAACACAGGTGCACGTAGGATACAGTTACATAACCATGACTCAGCGTAGGTAAACATACACATGCTGGATATGGCACTATGTAAGAATGTAAATATGACATGAGCCAGTGGCAGTTTGGGCAGGGAGGAGAATGAAGAAGCCAATCTCCTGCTGTGAGCCAGCCAGCATACAGGAGACAGAAGCCAACTACCCTGTCCCCCACTGCGCCTGTAAGCAACCAACTGATTCGGAGGAACATAGGCTGAGACGACAGCCCTACAGTTAAAAAGCAACTTAATGCTTATATTGTTTGATTGACCTTCTAGGCCTAAAGCTGGTAGTCTGAGCATCTATTTAAAGGATAGAAATATGCAGTATAGCAACTATGGGGATTTCTTTCTGTCTTGTTTTTGAAATCCAATATTCTCACTGTTTTGCTTAGTTCTGTTTTATTCCCCTTAAAGTAAAAGAGAATGTAACTATGAGATCACAACGTGTTTAAGAATTATACAATAAAGATGCAGGTAGCTCTTGTGTTCTCTTTGCTTCATGCTTCTGTTGTTGTGACTGGTGTTTTACACATGTATGTTCTTTAACCCTGGGAGGTAACCAGTGATATTCTCTTTTGGACATCTGAGGGGGCCACCAGATGTACTCAAGGTTTTGAACTGAGCCTGTGTATGAAATGTGGTGTCAGTCATAAATTCCTAGGTGCTGTGTCATGGGATGACTGCTGATTTATGACTTCCTGAGTGCTGAGTCATGAATTCTGGGTGCTGAATCATGGCCTGAATGCTGGCTTCTTGGGTGCTGAGTCATGAACTGAGCACTGAGTCATAACTGCTGGGTGCTGGATTATGCAGGGCCTTACCATTTGCAGGGCTGAGGTGGCAAAGTGTGTGTGTGTCTGTGTGTGTAGCATTTGTGTGTCTGAGATGTTTCATGTTAATTATGAGCCTATTATTAACAGTATTTTTATTAATCATGAGCCTATTATTAACAGTAGTTATCATGCTGGACAATAGATCTCTTGACTTATTCCTTGTGTCTATATCAAATTTTGTGTCTGTTGACCAACATTACCCCACCCACCTTTCTGTCCCAGTAACCACTGTTCTAATTCTGCTTTTGGGCATTCAACTCTTTTGGATTCCACATTGGAGAGAGATCATGTGGCGTCTGCCTTTCTGTCCCTGGCTTATTTCACTTAACACAAGGTGTTCCAGGTTCATCAACCTGGAAGAGAGTTTTCTAATCTTCTATACCTTGCTTTTGTGTAGAGTTTCCAGTTAACTGACTAATTTCCATCACTATGCCACCAATCCCTCCTGTCGATATTATCACAGCTATCAAAGGGGGAACCAAGACGTAGAGAGGTGAAAGCTCTGAACTAACACCTCACAGAGGGCCTGGGTATCTGTTGGAGTCAGTCTCTTCCTTGGCTTCCATTTTCTGAGTGGATGCTGCATGGTGTGTGTTCTAGGTGCCAGAGGGCACTGAGCTGAACCTGGTGCATGGGTGGAAGGATGGTGATGGCTGCCCCTGCTCACACCTATGGGCTCTCTCTTCATTCTGGGTGGGACTGAGCGGGTCTACCTGAGCTACCACACACCCACAGTGGCACCATTTTGGGTGGGGTGGGTGGTTCTGGTGGCTTCTGGTTGCACAGGTCTTGATGGCTCCTGCCCTCCATGGACAGGGAAGCACAGATCTACCCATTCCCATTTCCTCTTCTTTCTGAGGGGTCCTGCCTGAAGGTGTTTACCGTGACTCCTCTGTGTTTTGACCTAGAATCTGGGAAGCCTAGGAGCATTGCCCTGGAGTTGCCTTCCTTAGCTGATTTAGGGCGCTGGCTCTGTGTGTCAAATCCTGGCTCTGGCTTTGGACTTCTTTACTCCAATTTATTTCTCTTGGCTGTCAGGCCACAACCCCCATCCAAGGACGGCTGGCAGAGTCCAGTAGTGAGTAGGTTCTATTGATTGTTAAAGGAATTGTCTAAAAAGGTTGCCATGAGTGCTAGAAAAAACGACACCACTGAGCTTTCCAATGCTGAGGCCAAATAACTTAGCAAAATGCTCCTGTGGCTCCTCAGACAGTTCTCCAAGGGACAAAAGATCTGGGGGTTTTCAGCAGTGGTCTCAGTTTCTAAGGGCATCTCTGAATGTTCTCTCTCTCTTTTGACTGTTGAAATGGTTCCTGGAAAAATGCCTTTTCTCTATCCATCTTTCATCAGACAACCTGTGGAATCTACCTCTCCTCTTCAGTCTGCAATCTCAGCACTGTCCTAGCACAGTGGGTCTTGCAGGAGCCCTTTCCTAGATTTTGTCTTTTAGTCTTTAATACAGGCAACTTATTTACAACATAGATGTAAAAACAGTTGCAATGACTGTAAAAGCTGACTTGGCAAGAGTATTTCTTAGGACAGAAACATGAGAATTAAATGATAGTGGCATTTTTCTGATGGGGAAATTAAGCTGCAGAAAGGAGAGCTGTGTGACCCGAGACCCCAGGGTAGGACAAAGCCATGCTGGGCTCTGGAGTGGAGTCTGCCATTCATAACCCACAGACCTGCTTCATAAAATGCCATCTACTGACAGCAACCTATTTGCACTAACGGTCTTCATCAGCTTCAGGATCCCCTCACCAAAATGCTTGAGACTGGAAGTGTTTCAGATTTGGAGTCTGTGCATATGCATAATGAGATATCTTGGAGGCTGGGATCCAAGTGTAAGTGCAACATTTATTTATGTTTTATATACAACTTGTGCACGGTAATTTGGTGCAATATTTTCGTGATGCCTTCATTCTCACCATGATCTGTCATGGAAAGCTTTACATGTGGCATGTTCACTTGTTTTGCCAGGTTGGTGCTCAGAGTTTCAGAGTTTGGAGCATTTTGGATTTCAGATTTTTGGGTTAGGGATCCTTAACGTGTGCAGTAGTCTTCCCTTATCCAAAGGGAATAAACACATGTCCAGGCACATATGGGTGCCTTAAACTGCAGATAATAGTGACTCCCAAGGACAAGCACTGTGACCACTTCACACTCGACCTGATAGGTGAGTCACCTACAGAATGATGACCATGCAGCCATACTGGACGAAGGCAGGATTCACATCCAGCAGAGACAGAGCTGGGCAGTGTGAAGTTTCATCATGCTACTCAGACTGGCTTGCAATTGAAAATATATGATTTTTTTTTTCCAGTACTGGGGATTGAACTCAGGGCCTTCACACTGAATCACACCCAGTCTATCTTAAACATTCATCTTTATTTTAAGACAAGGTTCACTAAGTTGCTAAGTGGCCCAGGCAACTTGTGCTCTTCCTGCCTCATTCTCCCAGAATGCTGGGATTATAGGTGTGTACCACCATATCTGGATACATATTGCTTTTTTTTTTAATACCAGGAATTGAACTCATGACCCTGAGTTTGCCAGGCAGGTGCTGTGCTGCTGAGCTACATCTCTGGCAATATTGCTTGTTTCTGGAATTTTCTGTTTAATATATTTAGACCACAATTGACTGGTGGTGAGTAAAACTGTGGAAAACAAAACCATGAGTAACATGGAGAACAGCTATGACTGCTTGACCCCAGCCACCGTCCATCTCCAAGAGTGCAGTCTGGGTGGATTGGTTGCTGGGTGGATTGATGACAGCTGACCCTGCTGTCAGTCCTGGGGCCACATGCTATCCCGGGTGTGCAGATAGGAATGCAATCCATCCTCATGACTTCCATGAAACAAGCATTTCTGCCACCCTGGGTGACAGACAGGAGACTCAGGCACACAAGGGAGAAGAGGGCACCTTTACTGACTCCCTTGAGGTGGCAGAATCAGCATTCAGACCCCTCCCAGGTGCTCTTTGCCTCTACGTGGTATCACTTCTGAGTCAAAACCACTGGGGGACTAGAGCCCAGGATGCTCAGTGGGGAATTTGGGGTTCCAACTTAGAAAAGCTGACCTATGGGAAAACTGCCCAAGAAGGACCCTGGCTCACTTTCCCAATTGTGTTACACCAGATGCAGGTGTCCTGCGTCCATACATTGGGTCGTTTGTGCTGATGGAGAATCCACCTTCCTTTCTGTGCCTTTCCCCAGGAGGCTGAGCCATGTCATCCTGCCCTGCCCAGTAATTTAGAAGAACAGCAGTAATGATGACAACCAAAGCCAGTTGGATCCTCAGGGAGAGTCCTGGAAGCCAAACTATAATTATCTAAATTGGACTCTGAGGGGGATGTAAGTTTTACAACCTGCCACAGGAGTTCTGTGCCACAGAAGGGAGCCTTGCTAATGTCTCTTTCTGTTAAAGGTGTGGCTTACGAGGGAGTGCCTGGCCACCTTCCATGTGAAAGAAACGGCATTCTTTGCCAAAACCGGCTCAGGGAGTTACTTGTACTTCAGGGTGGTGATGATTGAGAGGCTGCTTCTAGAAATTTCTGAGGGTTCTCCTGTCAGTGAAGAAAATATCGGGGCTTTTTCCTAAATTACATTCCCACTAAGAACCAAGTAGTTCCTGCATATTCTTAATCCTCAAGTGAATCCCACTTCTCAAGCGGTGGCAAATTTCTAGTGATTTTTATCACAAGCATTTCTGCGGCCTCAGGCTGGAGGAGGGGCCCAGCAGGCTGAGGACCCTTAGGAAGTCTCTCTAGTCAAGTGACTCCTTTCTACTTACAAGTCTCCCCAGGGCTTTCTTCTAAATTTGCACCCAGGGAAATTACAAATGCCTACGGCAGGGGATGAATTTGGGCTTTGTGGTCAGGCAGCTTGTGTTTAAATCTGGGCCTGGTCACTTGTTCACCCTATAGCAGTGTGTGTCCTGTGCCTGGTTTCCAGCTGGGCTGCCCGGCCCGAGTGTAACTCCAGCCCCCTTATGGAGTTTGCTCAAGACAGGCCGAGGCTGCCAAACCACCAAACGTATAGTGTCCCCACCTGCCTTGCCAAACCATTCCGGTAATTTTCCATTCAGTCCTCCTTCTGTGATTTTCCATTTCTCTGGATCCCTCTAGTCTTTTTTGTGTCCTTTCTTTCCACTTCTCCATAACTGTTTTTGTTCTCTTTCTATTCTCTCTTTACGAGCCTCAGTCACCTGTCCTACCTGGAGTGGAGCTCAGTCCACATGGGTGGCTCCCCTCTAGGGTAGCAGTTGGAACAGGATCTGTCTCATCACCTTTGCACTGTTTCCCACTTTCAAAGGCTCAGCTTTGTGACCTGTGAAACGGAGACACGCGCGTTCTTGCTTCCAACTGTATGATGTGACTGTAATAATAGGTACATGTCACGATCCATTAAGATTTGTCTCCCAAGTGCAAGCGGCATTTATAATATGCATATACCAGTGGTGTACTAAGTGGGGGAAATGCCCCAATACTGAAATGCAAAAGCAACAGGTGAAAGAGCCCTGGCATTTATCCATCAAGAAGGTGGGCTAGGTATCTACCTTTTAAGCTAAAAGGGTGCACAGCCTGTGCTGGTAGGAGTTGAGGGGGCTTAAGTAGCAGAAAGGACATGGGGAAGGTTGAGATAGATTGTAAAAGG